ATGTTTTCATTGCATTTACAGACCCGTGTAACTCTCTGATACCACCCAATGAATGCACTGACTTGCTTGTAGAACCACGCTACACAAAACAGATAGCAACACCTATAAAAACTATTTTAAAAAAGGGGCTACTGTATCGACATTTTAAAATTATATTTAAAGAAAAGGCCCTGACAAAACAGCAGGGCTCTATTTCAGTAACTATTAGCTATAGAAAAAAAGACAGCAACAGCTGACATCAAATATTTGCTGAGCCTAAGGATAATCATAAATAAATAACATAGTGAAAATAAATATATTGCAATGCTCAAAACAGCAGCATCCAACTGTCTCTAATCCTTGGATATTACATGTCACCTGCATGCATGCACGGAGCAGCTGTAGCGCGGAGATCATCATCATCATTCTGTCTTGTATTACTTAAAGTGGACCTATCATGCTATATTTGAACAATATATTGTAGGGCCATATCTATATAAAGTATATATATGATTCTGTGAGCTGCAGCTGACCACGCCCCCCTGCATGAGAGGGAAGCGTGCTCTGAGATCAGCTGCTGGGCTGTCAGAAGAGGGGGAGAAAAAGAGATCTCCCTCCTCCGTGTTTTATTCTTATTGAAGTAAGAAGAGAAGTAACAGGGCAGAAACCCTCCTTTTTACGCAGCGGTCCAGACATAGACATCAAACGGCGACACATATTCAGTTGCCAGTTACTTTTGCATTAGGGCAGGGATATCTAGATACTTTCCAAAGTTTGACATAATGAATTGTGCTACTTTTAAAGCAAGCAACGATGTTTTCAAATCTGTAATCAAAAAGCTCCTCAAAAACACTATCGAAGCAGTTCCTGCCGTTGCCACGTTAGTTCAAACGGTAACAACGTACTATTTTTCTTAGCGGATGCATGTCAATTTAAATAAATACATACAACTATGTTTTAAATCAATAAAATCATTTTCTAAATCCATAAAAGCATTTCAATTAATATTGGGAGTCATGTCGTTAATTTTTTGAGAATGTGGCCATGTAATAAGCGGGATAATGTGCACATTGCATAATGTGCCTTCATGCCGATCTAGATCCCTCCGCAAAAAAAAAAAAAAAACCGGCTCGTTCGCGGGCGCGAGCCGGCTCCCGTCGTTCACTTAAAAGAGCCGGCTCTTTGAGCATACCACGGGAGAAATGAGTATCGTCTCATACAGCTCACTGATCCAGTAATGAGTGAAGAATACATATGTATAACTAGTTTAGCTTGTTCCAGAGGTAGATCAAATAGCGAAGTGTGTTAGGTCTAACTCTTAGTGTGTGTGTATTGCTCCGCTCACCGGTCCGCCACAGCGGGTGGAGCTGCAGGATTTCTGCTTCACACCCGCTATTTTACTGTCTTTTTCGGACACCTTAAAATACTGCCAGACCTGTGAAGCCATTTTGGCGAGCTTGTTTTGCCGCACACAGAGAAAAGTGTCATGTATTTTTACGTCATGCGATCGGCCGAGAGTGAATATCATCCCTAATGATTTTTCTGCAAAGGTTTTGTGTTGGGAATATCATCATGTAGAGTTTCTCCCCTATTAGCTTTCTGTTTTGGTGTCTCAGACAAAACCAAACATTTGTTACTCTGTGTTGTTCAATGCTTGGATGTATAATTCATACGCAGAGCGGTAACAGGGAGACAACTAGAAACAAAATGGAGGGCGGGGCGGCGACATGACTGCAAACAACTTGAGAGGAAACAAGAATACAGAAGTCACAGGTGGAGGGAGAGATGGTGCATGTGTAGGAGGCGAAAAGAATAGGGTCCCTTTAAAACCAGATTGTTTCCGCACTCTTTTTCAATGATTCAACGTAACTTGATTCCTTAATCTCATTGATTGTTGGTGTATTTTGTCTTGTCTCATTGAGGAAAACATACGTCACTGAGTGGTTTCAGGAGACATGTTTTAGACAGCATCCGATTTGACTCTCAATAAAACAAAGCTGATGGCTTTAATGGAGTGAATTATGCAGCTGGTTGAGCGAGTGCGCTGCATGTCATTGAGGTTATCAAGTGGGTACCTGCTGCCTGCGATGACTCATTGGATTATGGCAGGGGTGCCCAACCAGTCGATCGCGATCGACCGGTCGATCGCGGGGAGATTCCCAGTCGATCGCGAGATGTGTCTAAAAATAGAACAACAATATTCTGTTTTATCGTTCATGTCCTGTAACATAATATTCCTGTGGCAGAATAATGCACATGAACGCATCAAAGTTTTGTGATTGGCCGGCGTGACCCCATGTGTCGGGGCGTGGCTGGTGAGCAGTGGGCAGTGCACTCGTTCGCTAACGTTGTCCGTAGGAGTGACAGTCCGCACACACACAAGACCGCAATTATGGCAGAAGCAAAACATATATAATTGTCACTCCGAGTGGGAGGATGATTATTTTTGTATCTATTCCAATTCAAAGTGCATCTGTCTCATCTGCAATGCGAGCGTGGCTTTATCGAAGAAGGGTCATTTAGGAGCGGCATTTCAAAACAGTGCACAAACGCTACGAGACGGAATTCCCTCCTAATTCTGCCCTACGCTCCCAAAAGGGGAGGGGCCTGAAAGGACAGCTAAATGCACAGCAGTCCATTTCCACCAGGCCCAACAACAAGAGCAAGGCTGCTTCCAGAGCATCTTATCGTGCCAGTCACGTTCTTGCGAAACACATGAAGTCTTTCAAAGACGGCGAAGTTGTGAAAGAAGCATTCCTGGAGGCTGCAGATAACAGAAGCATTTCAACAGGTTTTTGATATGATAAAATCATAGGCCTGTGGTGCAGTGGGTTGTGAGTTGGTATTCGGATCAGGAGGTCACAGGTTCAAACCCCACTGCAGTCAGCATGTCGTTGTGTCCCTGGGCAAGACACTTCACCCCAAATTGCTCCTGTGGGGATTGCCCACAGTATAGAGTATGTAAGTCGCTTTGGATAAAAGCGTCTAACAAGTGACAATGTAATGTAATGTAATGTAATAAAAACTCAAGTTGGATACCGTTATTAATCAGCTGTAAGTTTGAGTTTGTTTGAACTTATTCATTATAATTATTGTACAAAATGGTATAAGAATGCAAACTTAAATTGATTATAGTCCATTATCAATTCAGGTTAAGAAACTAGTGTTGCTTGCATCCTATTTTAAAGGCATTTATTTTTATACTCTACTAAAATGCTACAAAAAAGGGTTTGATTCTATTAATTTTGTCTTTTTTATTGCACTTCGGCAGCAGATTCCTGTGTAGCTTCAGATCTGAGTTGTCTTATTAGTAAGCCTAATTTATACTTTTGTATCAACACTATTTTTATATAATGGCAAAGAAAGGGTTCAGAGTCTTTTTTTTCCCCCTGTGTCATATGTGGCAGCACTGTTCAATGTTTCTTGAAAACATTACCCACTGTAGTGACGTGTGAATAAACTCCTGTATCAACAACACTGTTGTGTAACTTCAGTTAAATACTTGTATGTGTGTAGATTAGAAAGAGGTAAGAAGGATCTGCAGTATTTTATGAAGTATTAATCGTACAAAGGTCAGTTTTATACAAGTAGAAGTGTGTATTTACCTGGTAGTAGGCTGTCAGTAATGGCTACGCCCGTCTATTTGGACTGGTAGATCTCGGCAGACTGGCAACTTTAAAAGTAGCTCTCGGTTCAAAAAAGGTTGAGCACCCCTGGATTATGGACTGCTGTGACAAGACCTCAGAAGGACGGGAAGTACAATAGAACAGCCGGTTTATCCGCACCATTTACTCCGGATTACTTGGAAAACGTGGCACATAACCATGTAGGTTAAGGAAGCAGAAATAAGAAAGTGCAGCTGTTGTCACGTCACTTTAATGTTCTCGTTGTCGTCTTCAGTGACATGTACTCGTTCAGCTGAGATGACCTCGTTCGGTTGACAAAACCCTCCTGATTTAAACTTGAGGCAACTTTAAGCATTGTAGCTAGTCAGGTAAAAGGTAAAATGCCCCCTCCTGCAACAAAACTGTCTCATTTTGGATCTCTTTTGTTTGTGCATTAACATTTAGTCTTCATTTCGCATTTTTAGAGAACAACCTGGCCGATTTTAAAAGCCTTGACTCAGATAGTGAGGACCATGGTGCTCATATGTAGTATAGTGAACAGATTTCTCTGTATTCAAGCAGTTAATTAGGCAAAATTGTCTTCAGGAGTTGTGGCATGTTATTGACCGTGACATAAAAACAATATGAAACAATTCTGAAGGGGATTATATTGTTGTTCAAAAGGAAAAGCAGCACATAATGTTTGCAAGACGAAGATGTTGCACGAGACACACATGGTCAAAATATACATAATGATACTTGTAGGAGGCAATTATCTCTATTATTGTTATTTGTCACATGGGTCTTGTTTGTTAGTATTTAGTCCTCCTGTTTGCTAGATGACACAGAGCTGGTTCAGACATTTTCTGTTGACCGGTTGGTCCTCTTTAAGTTATTTGTTGTTTATTTGAGTCATTCAACATCGTTAATCTATAACTTCAGTACGGACTCTTTCAATTGAAACGTGTCAAAGTGATGAGCCTACTTTAGCTTCTAGCGACTGTTCATTGGGAGTTTTGTCGCTACAGATACATCTAATGTTAAATCTCTCATTTGCACATCATGGCTTAAAATGCATGAAATACAACTTGTTTTTCAAATGCAGTTACTATATCATACACAAATAAATGTTAACCTTTGTAAAACAATCTTGGTGTATTGAGTTCAATAAAAAAAGGAAATTATATTAGTGTTCACTATCCTAAAAGATGCTAGTTCAAAACACTGCGCCCTTTCGACTGACTTCAAATCAAGTGATGCTCACAGAATCAAATCCCTTTCCACACATCTCTGTCTCTCCGGAGTCATAATCGAATACTTTATTGCCAAGTCAACAACATGATCGGATTAAGCGTCTTATTGAATTTACTGCGTGTCAGGTAAAATGACTCTCCCCTCGCTCTGTTTCTCCTCCAGGTGAAGGGAGAGGAGGGAAATTCCACGGTGTCGACCTCCTCCAGCACTCGCCCTCCCCCTCTCCAGGAGACCCTTACCCCCTCCAGCCCCGCTCCCTGGAGCCCGTCACGGACACTTTCCAGCAGAACCTCCCATTGAGGAAGACCCTCTCTGACCTCGACACAACCTCACCTGCAGGTATGTGTGTGACTGTTGGGAAAATACTGAATGTACTCTTCCAATATCAGAGTACACATGACAACAAAGGCCCTACGTAGCTGTGTACATGATTACCTAGAAGAGCATCAGGACCAGTGGCGGCGCTAGGGGGTGGCTACTTGGGCTCAAACTCCGGATGTTTTCTGAAAAGCCCCGAATGTTTGACTTAAAACATTTATTTTTATTTTTAAAACGTCTCGTGAGTATTGTGCAGTACCGGAGTCCAACAGAGAGGCAGCAGCTGCGGGACAGTAGCCTGCGTACTGCGTAGCCTTCCCTGCCCTGAATAAGAAGAAGTGATCCTTCCTGATCAGTGCCTGACGAGTTAAAGCTAAAGTTATGGATATTAGAAAGTCATTTTCATCAAATCAGGCGCTACAAGCTGCACCAGCAGTATCAGCAGCTGACAACAATGACATCACCAGCAGTGATGAAATGGATGATGTTTCAGGTTTTTGTCCGCTTTAAGGTGGTGGTACATTTGTGCTGTCGCAACAACAACATTCCCATTTCATTCCCCATCTGGGCTAAGCCCCGGATCTCCTACAATCCTAAACCCGCCCCTGATCAGGACTGTTTTAGGCATATGATAGCTATGTGATTAACATGATGATTCAGCCTCTATGGAGATAGACAAATGACAAGCATGCTCATCATGAACTAAACATTGTATTTTGAGAAAAAAGTCAGAATTTTGAGAAATGCTTTTGAGATTTTGAAAAAAGCCAACATTTATTTGTTTCCAGAATTTTGAGATTTACAGAAAAAGTCAGAATTTTGTATGATGTATGATTTCCTAGAAGAACCGGCATTCCTCCATCTTGTGACTGTGTAACTCCCTCTCTTGGATATCAGCATGTGAAGGACACTGTTCAGGAACTAGTTGATGCTCTGTATGTGATGAGTACTTCCATCTGGAGAGGATCACAAATACATGGATCCTGAGATTGAAGCTCAAACCGGTGACGAGTGACCGCCCGGCCCGTCCACACAGCGGCGTGCGTTGAAGCTTGCCGGCGGGCGTGTCTGAAGCTCGACCAACAACCAATCACATGAATCTCCCGCCCCTGACACACAAGCAGCGGTTTGATTGGCTAGAGCTTGTACTGGCATATGATTCGATTGGCTGACGCTTCTGCTGAGGCGTCAAAAGTTGAACATTGCTCAACTTTTGCAGCGAGCCACGCCAGCAAAGCTCCGCGTCACTTCCCACAATGCAGTTTGGCGAAAAGTGACGTCACCCCATTCAAAGTGAATGGTGAAGCTTTCAACGCACGCCACTGTGTGGACGGGCCGTGATATTTGTCTAACAGTGACTATGAAGAAAAGATCCTTCTCCGATGTTTTACCTTTCCTTTATTCCATTATTCCTGTGGTGCAGATCTCGTTACTATTACATTTAGCGGACGCTTTTATCCAAATCAACGTACAATAAGTGCAATAAACCTTAAAGATTCAAACTAAGGACAACGAGAAAATTGCTCAGGTCAAACAGGCAAACTCTTACTTTGCTAATTTATTTACTTTTTGGCAAGGTACAAGCGAAACGAAAGGAAGATGTCACAATAAAATGCACTTATAAACTACTAACCCAGATTTCTACTGAAACTTTAGAAACCCCAGATTTAACTGGACAAGGTTTTCTCTAGTTTAGGAAGCCTTAATAATCTATATAATTTGATACCTTGGGAGGATGGAGAGATGGGACGATTACATATTTTTGTATATAGATGCTCTTAGCAAGTCACGTTTTAATTGACACATTATTTCAGATAAAATAGTATTTGTACCTCAATTTTTCTCTGTTTCGGTGTAAAATCCGATGACTTAATCTTTGTGACATTAATCTGGGCTTGTTTATATTCCTACTTGGCGTAATGCCTTGTAAAAGGGGGTCACTGGGGCAGGAGAACATCTTAATAATTTTCTCATTCTGCTTTTAACCCACCACATAGTTGTATACAACAAAGAACACCACGGATAATAATATTGTATTATTCATTTATTTCCCCCTGCATTTACTCTACTCTGTTTTGCTGAGTAAAGGATTGTGTTGCCAGCAGCCAGGATCTTTCAGGCCTGATTGACTCATTCAATGCAACATTGATACTTAATCGCAGGGTATATCAGAGTCCTCACTTCAGTCAATGGCAAACATCTCAGTGTGTATAACTAATGCAGGAAGGTGCATAGGATAATTGATCTTTATAATCTACTATACATAGCAGCAAATCTCAAAATAGGTGGGTTATAACAGTGGCAACCTTCACATCTTGTTGTAAAAATATACTCATTTATCCTGAAGGTTTATTGTCACTTTCTTTTAAAGATGTTGACTTGAGCAGTGTGCACGTTTTTCAGATTGAAACGAGTTGGCAACAAGAGAGTGTGTTGAATATCTAAAGGACTTGAATACATTGCTGTTGAAGTAAGCAAGAAAGTGGTCAAGTATATCTTCATGTGACAATGTCCCCATAAGTTCAGTTGTATTAAAGGTCCCCTATTATACTGTCTTTCATCAATATATTACAGGTCTCAGATATATACAAAACATGTCTCTGAAGTGTTTGGCTTCACAGATCATTGCAGCATTACCCATAATCCCCTCTGTTTCAGCCCTGTTTCCAAAGTGCTGATTCTCTGTCTGTTACTTTAGATGAAAATAAGGAGCCCCTCCCCACGCCCCTCTGAGAGAGATTTGGTTACAAAGAACTCAATGGTGCTCTAGGAGGAGATTCAGGTGATAAGGGGGGGGGGGGGGGGGGTTACCTTGGTTGGTGATTGGCTAATGGTTACACAAGACAAAACATCGTTATGACATCATAAAGTGGCCAAAATCTGATCAGCTCATTTTCAGACAGGTTTTTATAGAAATGGATCAGGACAAAAGAGAGAGAATCTTTGTTCCTGAAACTTTCAGAATCTCTTTCTCTTTTTTTCATGTTGATGTAGAAGAGACATGCAAAAGTGAATTTTGCATAATAGGTGACTTTTTAATTCTATGTTCCTCCACAGATAACACTTTGGAGCAGCGTGCCGCAGACCAACTTCACCCAGGAACTATGGACCACTCTGGGCTTCTGTGCTCAAACACACCGTCCGCTTCCTGGAACGGACCTAAGGGCTCCACCTTTTCTCCCGGAGCGTGGAACGAGCCTTACAATTACACTATGAACAAAGGCCCAGCCGTCCCGCCTAAACAGCACAGCATCATCGGATCGTCGGGGGGAAGGTCGCAGGACGGGGTGATGTTCGTGAATTCAGGACAATCAGGAGGGGGCTCACATTCCAGTTCATTCTCGTCCGTGACGATGCCTTCTGGGAGAGGAGGAGGGAATAACATGCCGGGGATTTCACTGGCGGCGGCGATGATGGGGAAGCGAAGCGAGACTGAAGGTGCGGCGGCGGATGGAGGAAGAGGAGGAGGGGGAGGAGTTGGGGAGGGAGCAAGAGGGCGAGAGAGGTCGGCACGTTCAATAGCAGCGGCAAACGCATTCAAGTTTCGTGAGCGTTCCCTTTCTACGCCCACAGATTCGGATTCTTTCTGCTTTTCAGAAGTTGGTTTAGGACAGCCGGACGGGAGCGTCTTGCCGACAGGGAATGGGAATGCTATGGGAATAACAGACCACCAACAACAGCATCATCACTTCCTGGGTTTGGGTGAGAACTATGCGCTCAGATACCCTAGAGGGAGCTCCGAGGACAGCACCAGTACCACAGACACAATCTCCGTCACGGCTTCAGACTACAGCGCCGACGGTCGCTTGCGCCTACGCTCCCGCTCCATCTCGCTTAAGAAATCCAAGCGCAAGCCACCACCCCCTGTGAGGAGCGTCTCTCTAATGAAGAACCTTGGACAAGCTGAGGGGAGAATCCACCACGAAGGCGGACTTTACCGGGATGGCCGGCCAAAGAGCCTGCACATCCCCAGGGATCTTTTCCCGGACTTTCAGCCAGATTTCCTACTGCCCAGTTCGTCCTGCTCTTCTAAACCAATGGTTGTTGAGCGGGATATTGGCCATGGAGGCGCTGATGGACCTCCAAGTCTGGAAGTCCAAGCACCAGAGAGGGAGGGAGATACAGAACTGACCTTCCCCACTCACTGGCAGCTGGGGGACTGGAAGAATGACCCTTACAGGTAGGAAATAAAACAATACTTAAGTTTAGCAGTTTATTTGCCCGATCCAGATGATCTTCCCGGTTATTGGACCTTCAGTATTCTCTAAGTTGTAATGCTAGAAATGCTCTCCTCTGTTCTCTTTTCTCCTTTCAGGTCTCTTTCAGGCTCAAGCACAGCAACAGGTACCACAGTGATTGAATGTATGAAAGTCAGAGGCAGTTCGGAGTCCCTGCTTGATTCTCCCTCAACCTCCAGAGCAACATCGCCCTCACAACTCTCCATGGAAACTGACATCAAAGCATTCTCGCCCTTCAAACCCCCAGGACTTATGTCGCCATCAAGTGGCTATTCCAGCCAATCAGAGACTCCCACCCCTACTATTCCACTCAGTCACATGGCAGGTCACGGGACATTAGGGTGTAAGTTGCGTCCGAAGATCCCGGAGAGGAAATCATCTCTTCCGTCGCCCAAGGACCCATCTGCAAGGTCTAGATTGTCCTTTGAGATGCCTGGGAATGCACATCTAGAGCTGTCATCAATCAGGCCAAAGCCAAAGGCCAGCAGAAGACATTCGGACACCTCGACTGCAGCAAAACCCGGAAAAACCAGCTCCTCGCAAGCCTTGCCTGTTGTTACCCAGAATGAGCTAAAGACTATTCGACTGCGCTCTGTCTCTCGTGGTGACTTGGAGGACTGCCCTGATGGGGCGTCCGACACCATAGAAGAAGAACAGCATGGCCGTGACTTAGGGGAAGACCCCAGCCCGCCACCCACCCTACCGAAACCCAAACCCCCTGTCGCTGTCAAGCCCCCGTTGCCAAAACGGCCCATAAACCTACTCTTTAAGTCTTCTTCCCCTTCTTCCACTTCCCCCCAAGCTCTCGAATCACCGCCTGGCTCACCTGTGGATCGGCCTGTTCCCCTAGGCAACATCTACAAAGTCATGAGAAAACCCAAACCCAAAAGACCTTCACCACAAGCAACAAGTCCCTCTGTTCCACCAGATTATTCCACTTATGAACATTCATTCCTGCCCCAGTCCCTCTATGACCTCCCTCCTCTTCCAGACCCCCAGCCTCTTCTGGAAGACCCGGCAATGGAGCCCGATTTCGATGTTTACCCAGAGATTCGTCCTGGTCCTGGGGACGGAGGCTCACTCCCGTCTCCCTTCAGTAACGAGGAGGGCCCAGAGCTCCAGGACAAGAGCAAGACCCTCCCTTCAAGAATGACAATCTCCTGTCTGTCAGAGCTGTCAGACAAAAAGAAACCCAAGGTGAGGAAGAGATCTCTCAGAAAATGCTTTACTATTCAAGATTCAAGGCTTTATTGTGCACATTAGCTACAGTGTAGATATGGCAATGAAAAACTTAAGTCACAGGCTCATCCAACAGTGCAACATGAATATATATATATAGGACATAAAACAAATAAAACTGTTACATGTGCAAGTAAATACAAATAAAATAGTGCGAAAAGAGTCTACAAGTAAATGAAATATGATATATGTGACCCGCTCTATCGAAATCAGTCGGAAGTCGCAACGGCTCATTTAAAAAATAAACTTGGATTTGCGTAAAAAAATTGTTTTTCGGGGTTCGGGTGTTTTCTTTGATTTTAAATAAACAAAGTCTTGGCTTTCAGAATATGAAACTTTTATTTCCAAAATCACACGATAAATACATGTTTGAAGCTTGTAAAGGGAAGAAGACAGCTCTCACTCGCACTCTGCTCTTCCGCAGCGCCGCCCCCCCTCCCTCCGCTGACATTATGAATGTAAGGCGTATAGTAATCATAGATAACACGGCAGGGTCCGTTACAGTTTGTTTTCATCTGATTTCAATTAAACAAAGTCTTGGCTTTCAGAATATTAAACTTGTTTCAGCAAATTCAGATGATAAATACAGCTTTGAAGCTTTGGCATAATTACAAGCGGAGAACGGAGTAACTTGACGTCACAGCAGGCATAACAACAGCCGGTGTTTCTCGTGAGGGTTTTCCCCGGGAAACAAACAATACACACAAATGCAGAAATACACATACATACACACACACACACACTCGCGAGCTTCCCCCAGACCAGTAATCAAAACGAAAATATCTTCCCTCCGTAGTATTTTGATCATTTGCTAATAACCAATCAGATCGATGGATTCCAGAGAACTTTGAAGGCCTTTTTCTCAAAATGATGACTCGGTGACAGCCATTATATAATGTGACATATGTTGCTTAATATTTGGGGTACAACAACAATCCTGATATCATTAGAAAGCTAGGAATCTCCTCTTTCCAACAGTGTATACAACTCAAAATGTGTCTTCGGGTCAATGCGACTGATTTCGATAGAGCAGGTCACATATAGATAAATAATTAGCATGATGCTAACAGATGAATGTTTATGGATGTTCTTTACAGAGTTCAGGTGTTTAATAGTCTTATGGCCTGGAGTCTGGTGGTTTTACTCCTGACAGAACAGTTTGTGGCTGGGGGTCTTTTGTAATCCTTTGGAGTGTCCTTGTGGTTAATGTCATTCAGATTAACTTATTTTGTTCCTTTCCAGGTTCCCCCTCCAGTCCCGAAGAAGCCGAATGTCCTTCTTCTTCCCTCAACGGTCCATTCCTCGACCAATGGGAGCACAGACCGTCAGACCCCTCAGGCCGACAGTCCTGTGGGTCTTCGCTCTCCCGTAGGAACGTTCTCACCGGAAGAGTTTCCCAGTTCTCCTAGTGTTCTCGATATGCTAGAACAAGATGAGAACCACTTAGGAACCGACGAGGAGAGTTCAAAAGAGTCATCGCTTCATTCGTCTCTGCAGGATTCCTCCCTCACAGAGCTAGGAGGGAAGATGGCCAGCACTGAGATTGGAGCAGGTAACTTTTTTGAGAAATATCTGCATACTAGGGTCACAGTTTATCAAGAAATAAAGTCGTAGTTTAATATTCTGCATTATGTATGACTCAAACTTATATTAAAGATGAAGCTGATTAGATAAACCCTGATAAAGCTGAAGAACGTCTGTTTTGAGAAGCAAATTCTTACCTCATTTGGCTTGAAAAACGATTGTTGCTAGGGTAGAACCACATTGTAGTCAGCTTGCAATTTAAAAGGGATTACAAAGGGAACCCAGTTTCAAATTGAAATATGAGGATCAGCATGTCCATAATCTTTCAGCTAATCATCTGCAGTGTGTCCAAAACCTCCACATTGCATCCAAAACATTTGGTAAAAGCTTTCATTTGTCAAAGCGTTTTCAAATGCAACAAGAGATTCAAATGGAAACTGTGTTCAAACCATATTTTGATCCTTTGAATGCAAGTAATTCATCGAACAATAAACAATTCAACCCAACCGTCTATGCTCTACGTCAAAAAGCTTTCTTTTACATATTGCAGGACTGTTCATTAAAGCATGGAGTTCATGGAGTTCTGTAGTGTTGCAGTATCTGTCGAATGCTGAGTTGTGCACTTACATATTAATCGGACATGTCTAGGTGTGGTTGTGTATTTAGAGTCTATGGAGAATCAAATAGACCCTAGCAAACATGCAGTGGTTGATAAAACATAAGATAACAAATGTGGCTTGATCTTTGTGAGGAACTGTGTCACCTCTTTTCCTTTCATTGTATATGCTTGTGTTTCATGAGAGCCTGTCAGAGCTGCTACATTTGATTAGGATCCTTCACTGCTGCGTTTGATACATAACCTGCTGATTCTGCCAGTAGCAATATCTCAGGTTTTCAATCAAATCAAAACACGGACTGGTTCACGTTGTTTTTAACCGTAAAGATGACATTTATCGTTATTATTATCCAATTATACCCTCAATCTGTTACTGGCTCAAGTAGGGCTTTGGTGGAAACTACATTTCAATGTGATACCTTCTTTCTTTTTTGTTCAGATGACTCGGCAGCTGACGAGAAGACGGTACTCCACATCGCAGAGGAAACAGATGATGACATGTTGCCCAGCACACCTGCAGCACACACCACAGAAGACCTGTTCACGATCATTCACAGGTTGGTAAACACACACACACACACACACACACACACACACACACACACACACACACACACACACACACACACACACACACACACACACACACACACACACACACACACACACACACACATACATACCATGTATACATCACTTCAGGGGACATTACATTGACTTACATGCATTTCCTGGAGACTTATCCTAACCTTAACCATAACCAACACACGCCTAACCCTTAACCTAACCCTAATCCTAAACCTAACCAAGTCTTCACCCTAAAATTAATGACTCTCCTCATGGGGACCTCCAATTTGTCCCCATAAGGGAAGCCAGTCCCCACACGTGACTATGTAAACAGATGTAGGTCCCCACAAGTATAGTAATGCTAGACCACCCACACACACACACACACACACACACACACACACACACACACACACACACACACACACACACAGCCAATAGAGATTTCAGTCATGCAGTGTACATACGTTTTATTATGTTTACCAATAATGATATTACGCAAGATGCCTTTTCTTACGAGGCTTTAGGAAGGGTTAAAAAGTGCATTATAAAATGATTCTCACGGCACGTGCAGTTACATCCGTCCTATTATAACCCTTCTGACGAGAGATGCATTGTCTTGTTGAAAAGGTGAACAGCGGACAGAGCATAATGTTCCCTAGCAACGGCTTCACGTACAATGTGATGCTGCAAGACCGGTGGGTCCTTTTTTATACTTTTCTTTTTTAGAATCTCTCTCAAGCACACACACACACACACACACACACACACACACACATAATCACAAGAAAAGCTAGTCTCTAGGCAACAAGTGTTCATGGTTTTACCCTCCTGTAAGGCTGCAAATAGCTTGAAAGGCAGAGAAGTAAAGGTGAAGGTGTGTTCATCTCTCACAAGAAAGGATGGAGTCCCTTCTGTAGTCACACGCTTTAGAGGTTTTCAATCATAGTGTGACGCGTTTAGTTTGAGGATAGCACCTGCCTGCGGCCCCGTGACCCATGGTGGGAAATGTACTGTGGTTATGATGCTTGTTTTTCGGAGGTCGTGTAGCCTATTCAAACATATGCAACCCGAATCATGAAGATTTTCTATGGCATACGTCATTTTGACTTGTTTATTTTTTTGATACATCTTTTTTTTAATATAATTTCTTTTTTTATTGTGTCTACCCCCATTTATATTGATGTGTTTGAAGAATGCCTTTCTCTAGGCGTCCCAAAATGCTAACTTTTATGACAACTTTAATGCAGAGTATTTTTATTTTCCTTTCATTTCTATACTTAATCATGTTTTATTAATTTATCTAATTCCTGTGTGTTTGCTGTACACTGACAACAGATGTAAATACCTGTAATTAAAAGCTGAAATACTGACCTTTTGTCTCATATTCATCTTTTGATGTCAAACCCAAATGTTTTCAGTGTACACCAAAAATGAAGGAATTGGCCTTGCTGTTCCAGTAGTTTTGGAGGGGACTTTACATAATGATTACTTGTACATTAACATTAAGGTCACCTATTATGCAAAATCCACTTTTTCATGTCTTTTTATACATAAACATGTGCCCCCTCTGATCAGATTTTGGCCACTTTATGATGTCATAACGTTATTTTGTCTTGTGTAACCATTAGCCAATCACCAACCAAGGTAACCCCCCCCCCCCCCCCTTATCACCTGCATCTCCTCCTAGAGCACCATTGTGTTCTTTGTAACCAAATCTCTCTCAGAGGGGCGTGGGGAGGGGCTCCTTATTTTCATCTGAAGTAACAGACAGAGAATCAGCACTTTGGAAACAGGGCTGAAACAGAGGGGATTATGGGTAATGCTGCAATGACCTGTTTGGTGTTTCAGCCAATCAGAGACAGGTTCTGGATATATCTGAGACCTGTGATATAAAAAACAATATAAAGACAGTATAATAGGGGACCTCTAATTTCTATACTCATGATGTTTTTCTTCTATTTGTCTAGGTCCAAGCGGAGGGTTCTTGGTCGTAAGGAACCGACGGACTCTTTCGGCAGCCGGCAGAGTCTTGTATCTCCGGTGAAGCACAGCAACAGCGGCAGCGACATCCGAAACATGACCTTAGGCAGTCAGAGGTCCAGCTCCCGTAACGAGAACTTCATGGCCCTGCTTCAGAAGAAAGGCAGCAAGACTTCCGGCGGAGGAGCCAGAGTCTCTGCTATGGAGCTTCTCAAAAGCACAAACCCTTTGGCACGGCGGGTCACAGAGTTTACGTCTACTTCACCGACAGCTGGCGAGGGAGGAGAGTACGGAAAACCCCACGATCAGTGAAGTTAACCAGGTTCGTTGGCTCTTGAGAAAGCTACCAGCCAATTCTACAATGCGCCACCCACTGAAGATGGGGCCTTCTGACCAACCAGATCGCTCCAACTACTGATCGACCATTTGCACTGTCCAATCGATTTGGAGCACATTTTTGGACCAAATGTCCCCCTACTATGGTTGAAGCGCTATCGTTCATTGTCCAATCAGTCCCTCTACGGAAGGAAGAAATCTGTGGAGAGCGAAAGTTGTTCTCACTTTATTTTTAATAAAAGATGGAGATTTTAAAGTTATGCTTCACAACTTCATTGGGGAAATGCTCAGTGCGAAGGCTGGACGATAAGATGGATCGTTGGAGCAGAGAATATAAGGATAAACGGTGGATATCTTTACTCCTGGCTCCACTTTGGTGAAGACATCAAGGGTCCAAGATGAAGACAGAGGTTATTAATGAATCCTTAAGCAGTTATATTGATCCTCAAAGGTACCACAGTAATCAAATAAAATAATAATTGGAATAAAACACAAAAGTTGACTTCCAAATGATTCGTCCATTATTCAACCAAAACCCTCCAACCAGTAGCGCTACGGCGACGACGCCAGTAGACCTACATGAATGAATTGAAAGGTAAATAATGAATGGAGATGATGAGGCACCCGAAAGCCTAAACATGTGGGCATCATAACTCTCCTTCTCCTCCTGGTTGCTGCAATACCGTAGGAGGCATGATCATTTTCAGAGAAACTGAACCGTCTTATTTTGGCGAACGACGCGCAGGATTTACAAAGAAAAACCACATGGGGGCTTTTTGCCACCAAAGATGACGCATGAGCATGTCACAGATTATTATTTTTTGGCTGAATGTGAATGTGGACCTTTTACAAAACATTCCACAGAGGCACCCTGCAAAAGGAGGGACATCTTGGGACGTAAGCACTTTCTTTTTAACTCGCCGACGGAGCGACGTTTCCACGGCGCAATCGAAACTCATCAATCCTTATTCGATCAGTCTTTTGTTTTTCCTTAATCTTTTTTGTTCACCATGCTAGATGGCCATATACTGTACATGTTTCATTGGATTGTACTATATGTATCATGTACAAAGATAAATGTATCGCATCTATCAACGGATATCATCTGTTTGCGGACACAAAGACTAACAATAGTGTACGGAGCAGCAAGCAGCTTGGACTACAAACTGCACACACCATGGAAGGAAAACACACACCCAAACACACACACATACGGACCAAGGACTAATGCCATGGAAGACAGAACAGACCAGAACATTGTGTGTGTGTGTTCGTAGGAGTGTGTGCGCTGGTAAAATCTAGCCTGTGGAGTTTCTGTACGGAGAGCATGAAGCAGGCCTGGTTATAAAACAGGGTCTTTATTCATTGTTGGTCTCTGGTGACGGGACCAAGAAAGGACTGTTAAAAACTACAAACAGACCAGAGGGGACCTAGCGGTGTGTATGTGTGTGTATTTTTGCGCTTGTGTATGTGTTCATGTGCGTGTAATGAAGGGAAGTGCCAAGAAAAAAAGCGAGAAGGAGAGAGCGTCAATCTCCATTTGCCTGTTTATGTGTTTGCCATTTTTGGGCCCATACTATGTGTGTGTGAGTGTGTGTGTCGCTGTGTGTGCATCGTCACCCTGCAGTCCTTTCTTGAAGTAGGATTAGCATGAAGTTAGCAACCCCCGCTACAAATATACACACATTACAAACCAATGGTTTACAGGAGCAATGACTGACAGAGTTTTGAGTTCTGAAAATAGGTATTATTATCACTTTGTCACCCTAGATCATTACGGCCCTAGCCAGAATCTTTCTGTCCACACTGTCGCTAAGTTACGTTCTGAAACTGTGTTACCCTCCTTTGCGCACATTTGTCACACTCTGGCTGTGGTCGAATGGCTCCATATTGCTTAGGACGGTTCCTATCGGAGTAACTGGGCCGTGTCTAAGTTGATGCCTTGATAAGAGCAGGTTGAGTTCCTTGAACCCTTAAGAAAAGGAGCTTCAATGCTTCCATTCATATGTACTTAAGGTGCATCCTTAAAGGTGGGGTAGGTCATTTTGGAGAAAGCAGCTCGAGTGCGCTAGAATTTGAAAATACACAACCGGAACAAATCTACCACTTCCTTCCAGAGCCCCTCCTCCAACACACACGAACGCGCACATGACCAATGAGGGCACGAGATAAGTTTGTGCCCAGATGGAAGGCTGACAGGCAGGTAGGCCATCCAGTTACTTTAGCCGGCTCAGATGATTGGTCGTGCTTTTCACAGTACCACGGCTTCCACTGATGACATTTTGTTATGGATTTGTTGTCAAAGCACTTCAGATATTCATTGCTATCGGGATGTTAAGAGCATTCCATGGAATATAACAAGTGTATCTCGAGCCGGTTTCTCAAACGTACCTACCCCACCTTTAAGGAATGAAAAAGGTGAAAATGCACTATAGCAATTATATTCGCGTTAGGGTTAGTAGATGTTTTGGATTATTATATTGGCTATAATGAGTTCTCCTTTACATCGTTGTTTGACCTCATGATGTTTGCATCAAGGTCAAAGAGAAGTGGTTAGGAAAAGGAAATTGTTTTGACTATTGGGCCACAGCCTCTGCCACTTTCGTTTAAGAGGTGAGGTGGCAGCCTGTACCTCCTCTTCCTCCTCCTCCTTTAATCACTACTGGAGCTCTCAGTCCATCTGTCTCTCTGCGTCGAGCATCATCTCTCCTTCTCTCTCCTGTAACCTCTTGTTTTGGCACATACAGTACAGTAGCACTCTCTCTCTCTCTTCGCCCAAATACTGCAAACTCTCTCTGCTTTTGCACATAACGCCACCTTTTGATCGCTTCCTCTGTTAACCTTCTCTCCGTCCCCCATGTTTCCGTTAACCTTCGCCTGCCCCTCTTTCCTTCCCTCCTTCTCTCTGCATTCAGTCTATGCATCTGCAGGCGACACGACACCGGATGAATGTCAATGAATGACTGTTAAGAAAATAGATGCTGTGCTTTGTTTGTGCTTTGCAACAAAAAAAACATCTTTCTATCAATGCTTTCAATCTTCTGCCTTCTCTCTCTCTTGTTCTGTGTTTTTTATACTTTTTCCTTTGAGTATCCATGGAGTAAACATGGATGAATGAGTGGATGTGCACAAACACAGAAACAGGCAGGGTTTGAATGTGTTTTTTTTGCATAAAGGACCTTTACTTTTGGACTGTGAACGAAACGCCGTGTGGTATTTGACCCCTCACCGCCCTCCAGTTCTGGATCAGCGTGTGGACAGTCTGAGAATGTTTGGATTAGCAGCGGTTCAGCTCTTACACCTGACTTATCCCCTGCATGGATGGATGTGTGGAGGGAGGAGGGGTCCTTCCATCTCTGGACTGGCAAACTATCCCTCGGTGCTATTGAGTCAGAGCCCCCCCTAGTGGGTGAAAGAAGGAATAACCACACATAAGACAACAGGAGAGTAAAAAAAAAGAACCGCCTTCACATACATCTCTCTTCCTAGTCCTTCAGGTATTCCATCATCCTGAAAAAAAAGATTTTAAAAGTGCATAAATTATCATGATGACTAGTCAAGTGACGCTTGTTTTAAATATTTAGTGAATGAAAAAAACTGTGTTTGTTTGCCTTGTATACTGAATTATGGGCGTGTTGCTGTAGCGCCTATACTGTGTTCTTATTTTATATTATTACGATTTTTTTTTTCAGCTGCCTTGGTAGTACACACACACACACACACACACACACACACACACACACAACCTTGCAAACCTTTGTTAAAACGAAATCGCCCCGTTAAGACATGTTTGGAAATCTGGTGCCTCGAGATAACTGACCAGACACATGCTAGCCAAAATCTGAACTGAACCCAGTTAATTAAGCTCAAAGTACAGCATGGTAACAGACTGTGAACAGAGACAGGAAATGAGTACAGTGTTAGGAGGGAGCGGACAATAATAACATGAACCGATTGTTATGAAGTCACATGAGGTGTGCGTGACACGTCAAAACATGTGGTTGTTAATGGGTAGGATTTATCATTTTCAACGAGTTTTTAGGATAAACTAACCTCAGCGTTGTTTAACTTCCTGTGGAGACGATATATATTCAACATGGCACATTTGGTTAGTAGTAAAGCTGCAACCATTAGTCCATTTATTGGCTAGTAGATCAATTGAAAAATAATAGCCAATACATTTTTAATTGACAATTGAAGACATTTCAGTGCAAAAGTAGCTGATTTCAGCCTCCTAAATATGAAGTTGTGTTGCCTTTTTCAGTTTCATATCATCTTAAAGTGAATATTTGGCTTTTAGACTTGCAAAACAAGACATCACTTTTGACTTTTAACTATTTTCTGACATTTTATAGGCCAAACTAATTTTAAACTGAAATTCATCCAGCTAAAAAATGGACTAATTGATAATGAGAATGACTGTTTGGCAGCACTAGAACAGAATAGAGGTACAAGTAAAGAAAGACACACATGGGTACACTGGTAAAAAGCGTGCTACCCCCTGAGGATACAATCATTTAATATTTAGAGAAATATGTAATTTCTTTACAGTTTTCAGAGGCAGAGTTGCACTGGACGCAGAAATACACTTATTGGTTAGATTACTGCCAACTTGGTGCCATATTTTTGATACTTTTTAGATTTTACTACCAACAAGCTCACAGACAATTGGAGCAATTAGTCTTTAGTGTATTTGGTTGATCCTGTAGCTCTTCACATACACACAATTACTAACCAATGGGAATATGTCTGCCATAAGAGCAACTCTGCAACCATGAAAGTTCTGTATTAAATTGCACATCTCTGAAAAAGTTGACAACATATTATATTGAAAAATGACATTTATATAGAGTGTGAAAAGAGTGCTGACACTAGAAATATATATTGAATATTTAATCCCTTCTTCAGGAGGAGGGGAGGTGGAAACGAGGGCGTGGAGCAAAGGTTTGATTCGGCTAAACGTGGGGATTACCACGCCGAAAATTACACTTCCTCCGTCAACGTTTCCTCCACCTCTTCCTCCTTTCTTCTCAGCTGTCGTGTGACTCAGCGAGTAATCATGTTCAAAGCTTTTCCCTCTCTCTCACTCTCTCTGCCCTGCAACGGGATGAAAGGAGATCACTTTTTAATGAATTCCTTTATTTTATTTTAGTTGCAGATTCAGAGAAACGTTAAAGTGTTAAGTTGGAGCGTCAAAAAATAACTTTTCTCCGAAGCCAACATAAAGATTTATCTGATGTTGGTTTGAAGAACCTGTTTACAGTCATTTGTTAAAGACAATGAATAGAGCCACTTAGATGACACGAAATACAACCCAGAATAAACAAATCAAACATCCCTTCTTTGATCCAAACAAAGTCAACCACCATTTTTGCAGAAACAGCTTTAAATAAGTCAATTGTTTAACCACTTTTTTGACAAATATATCCCAAAAAAGCACAAATGCTTCAAAATAATAAATGTTTGATCCCAGTTTTAAGACGGTTCATTAAAAAACATGCGGTCCAGCTTCATGAGAGAGTGAAAGACGGTGGAAAAGAGAAAAGAGGGGTGACTGTTGCATATTTGGGCCAAAGAGTATCTTGCATTTGTTTGTCAGGGTGTGCCAGACGGGTGGGGTTAACAGTGTTTGGACGTTTCAGGGGTACTTTGGAGTAGGAATGAAACTGATGTCTCTTTTGCCGCTAAACCCCACCCGCCTGTCACGCCAAGTTGAGTAAAACAAACCCGCCCATGGGTCTGTACAGGCAGCTTGTGAAGAGATAAGATAATTAGAAAGAGAGACAGACAGAGCTATTGGAATTATTCTATTTTTGTTATTCCTCATTGAAAAAGACATATTTAAAGGAATATTCCGTGTATGTATTGAATAACCTGTTCCCCCCATCCAGTGGTGTGTATCTGCGAGGAGGCGTCACACACAAACGCTTCCCCCCGCAGCCATGCATCGCCAATGTGATGAAATTATTATATCAGTATAAATAAATTATTTTTTCTTGCTTAAAAAAAACTGGGTGTTTTCATTGTTTGCTTTCCTGCTGTTGTGAATGCTCTCTGCCCTCATGGTCTCAAGGTTCCTCTCTGAATAGATACTAATGATCAGAGATGGCAAAAGTACACACCTCAAGTAGAAGTACAGATACTCGTGTTTAAAAGTACTCTGGTAAAAGTAGAAGTACTGACTAAACTTCTTTACTCAAGTAAAAGTAAAGAGGCTTTGAAATGTACTTCAGTAAAAAGTACCCATAACTAGCAGCTGTTTTAAAGAGTACCTGACCTCCCTTTATATTAATAGAACAATAATGTCATTGTTAGCTAATGAATGTTTCCATGCTGAACAACGGCAACATGACAACGTTTCCATTGGTCCCTCTTCTTTAGAGAAGACCAGGAAATGATGGATACACGGATCGTGTTCAAATCAATAGGCACGCAATGACTCTAAAGAATAATGATCACGCACCAAACACACATTCAGACTAAAGGAACCAGCTGTTTGGAAAATGAGAGAAGTAGAAAGTACAGGTATTTGAGTTCAACATGTAAGAAGTAGAAAGTACAGGTATTTGTGTTCAACATGTAAGAAGTAGAAAGTACAGGTATTTGTGTTCAACATGTGAGAAGTAGAAAGTACAAGTATTTGAGTTCAACATGTAAGAAGTAGAAAGTACAGGTATTTGAGTTCAACATGTAAGAAGTAGAAAGTACAAGTATTTGAGTTCAACATGTAAGAAGTAGAAAGTACAGGTATTTGAGTTCAACATGTAAGAAGTAGAAAGTACAGGTATTTGAGTTCAACATGTAAGAAGTAGAAAGTACAGGTATTGTGTTCAACATGTAAGAAGTAGAAAGTACAGGTATTTGTGTTCAACATGAGAGAAGTAGAAAGTACAGGTATTTGAGTTCAACATGTAAGAAGTAGAAAGTACAGGTATTTGAGTTCAACATGTAAGAAGTAGAAAGTACAGGTATTTGAGTTCAACATGTGAGAAGTAGAAAGTACAGGTATTTGGGTTCAACATGTAAGAAGTAGAAAGTACAGGTATTTCTGTTCAACATGTAAGAAGTAGAAAGTACAGGTATTTGAGTTCAACATGTAAGAAGTAGAAAGTACAGGTATTTCTGTTCAACATGTAAGAAGTAGAAAGTACAGGTATTTGAGTTCAACATGTAAGAAGTAGAAAGTACAGGTATTTGAGTTCAACATGTGAGAAGTAGAAAGTACAGGTATTTGAGTTCAACATGTAAGAAGTAGAAAGTACAGGTATTTGTGTTCAACATGTTAGAAGTAGAAAGTACAGGTATTTGAGTTCAACATGTAAGAAGTAGAAAGTACAGGTATTTCTGTTCAACATGTAAGAAGTAGAAAGTACAGGTATTTGAGTTCAACATGTAAGAAGTAGAAAGTACAGGTATTTGAGTTCAACATGTGAGAAGTAGAAAGTACAGGTATTTGAGTTCAACATGTAGAAGTAGAAAGTAACAGGTATTTGAGTTCAACATGTAAGAAGTAGAAAGTACAGGTATTTGTGTTCAACATGTAAGAAGTAGAAAGTACAGGTATTTGTGTTCAACATGTAAGAAGTAGAAAGTACAGGTATTTCTGTTCAACATGTAAGAAGTAGAAAGTACAGGTATTTGAGTTCAACATGTAAGAAGTAGAAAGTACAGGTATTTGAGTTCAAAATGTAAGAAGTAGAAAGTACAGGTATTTGAGTTCAACATGTAAGAAGTAGAAAGTACAGGTATTTGAGTTCAACATGTAAGAAGTAGAAAGTACAGGTATTTGTGTTCAACATGTGAGAAGTAGAAAGTACAGGTATTTGAGTTCAACATGTAAGAAGTAGAAAGTACAGGTATTTGAGTTCAACATGTAAGAAGTAGAAAGTACAGGTATTTGTGTTCAAAATGTAAGAAGTAGAAAGTACAGGTATTTGGGTTCAACATGTAAGAAGTAGAAAGTACAGGTATTTGAGTTCAACATGTAAGAAGTAGAAAGTACAGGTATTTGAGTTCAACATGTGAGAAGTAGAAAGTACAGGTATTTGGGTTCAACATGTAAGAAGTAGAAAGTACAGGTATTTGTGTTCAACATGTAAGAAGTAGAAAGTTCAGGTATTTGTGTTCAAAATGTAAGAAGTAGAAAGTACAGGTATTTGGGTTCAACATGTAAGAAGTAGAAAGTACAGGTATTTGAGTTCAACATGTAAGAAGTAGAAAGTACAGGTATTTGTGTTCAACATGTAAGAAGTAGAAAGTACAGGTATTTGTGTTCAACATGTAAGAAGTAGAAAGTACAGGTATTTGTGTTCAACATGTAAGAAGTAGAAAGTACAGGTATTTGGGTTCAACATGTAAGAAGTAGAAAGTACAGGTATTTGAGTTCAACATGTAAGAAGTAGAAAGTACAGGTATTTGAGTTCAACATGTAAGAAGTAGAAAGTACAGGTATTTGTGTTCAACATGTAAGAAGTAGAAAGTACAGGTATTTGGGTTCAACATGTAAGAAGTAGAAAGTACAGGTATTTGTGTTCAACATGTAAGAAGTAGAAAGTACAGGTATTTGGGTTCAACATGTAAGAAGTAGAAAGTACAGGTATTTGTGTTCAACATGTAAGAAGTAGAAAGTACAGGTATTTGAGTTCAACATGTAAGAAGTAGAAAGTACAGGTATTTGAGTTCAACATGTAAGAAGTAGAAAGTTCAGGTATTTGGGTTCAACATGTAAGAAGTAGAAAGTTCAGGTATTTGGGTTCAACATGTAAGAAGTAGAAAGTACAGGTATTTGGGTTCAACATGTAAGAAGTAAAAAGTTCAGGTATTTGGGTTCAACATGTAAGAAGTCTTAGTGAAAAGTCGTCAGAAAAATAAGTAGTGGAGTAAAGTAACGAAGCATTTGTACTCCACTGCACCTTTGCTAATGAGTTTCCTGAGGCAACAACACTTTAGTTAATTGGCTGTTTCTATCTGACGCTGACTAAAACCTCTTGATCCGAAGTTTAATCATTACTTACTTAGTATAGGACATTTTGTCTTAAAGCTGGGGTATGTAGAGAACATTTGAATGAACTCTGATTTCAGTAAAACAGACCAGAATTCACATTTATTAAATATAAAACCCCTGCACATCCTTTTCAAGTAAAGGTAATCATTTAAAATCCTGCTGGTTTTTCGTCTAAGCTGTTCTTCCCTTAGTTTTTATATTAAAAGGAACCAACATGTTATCATTTGAATCTCAAAATAGGGCTCCAATAGAAAAAGGGACTCAATTTCTTTCCACACAAAAGATGTATTAATTTTTAATATTGCATCAAAAGAAACTATAATCAGCTTTTCTCATCAAGTACATGGTTGCTAAGGATTTGAGGTGAAGGCATTTAAAGTAGAGACACTACATACTGATATACACCTGAACATCAGCAGGAGAGGACTCTTTAAAGTAGAGACACTACATACTGATATACACCTGAACATCAGCAGGAGAGGACTCTTTAAAGTAGAGACACTACATACTGATATACACCTGAACATCAGCAGGAGAGGACTCTTTAAAGTAGAGACACTACATACTGATATACACCTGAACATCAGCAGGAGAGGACTCTTTAAAGTAGAGACACTACATACTGATATACACCTGAACATCAGCAGGAGAGGACTCTTTAAAGTAGAGACACTACATACTGATATACACCTGAACATCAGCAGGAGAGGACTCTTTAAAGTAGAGACACTACATACTGATATACACCTGAACATCAGCAGGAGAGGACTCTTTAAAGTAGAGACACTACATACTGATATACACCTGAACATCAGCAGGAGAGGACTCTTTAAAGTAGAGACACTACATACTGATATACACCTGAACATCAGCAGGAGAGGACTCTTTAAAGTAGAGACACTACATACTGATATACACCTGAACCTCAGCAGGAGAGGACTCTTTAAAGTAGAGACACTACAGACTGATTATACACCTGAACATCAGCAGGAGAGGACTCTTTAAAGTAGAGACACTACATACTGATATACACCTGAACATCAGCAGGAGAGGACTCTTTAAAGTAGAGACACTACATACTGATATACACCTGAACATCAGCAGGAGATGACTCTTTAAAGTAGAGACACTACATACTGATATACACCTGAACATCAGCAGGAGAGGACTCTTTAAAGTAGAGACACTACATACTGATATACACCTGAACATCAGCAGGAGAGGACTCTTTAAAGTAGAGACACTACATACTGATATACACCTGAACATCAGCAGGAGAGGACTCTTTAAAGTAGAGACACTACATACTGATATACACCTGAACATCAGCAGGAGAGGACTCTTTAAAGTAGAGACACTACAGACTGATTATACACCTGAACATCAGCAGGAGAGGACTCTTTAAAGTAGAGACACTACATACTGATATACACCTGAACATCAGCAGGAGAGGACTCTTTAAAGTAGAGACACTACATACTGATATACACCTGAACATCAGCAGGAGAGGACTCTTTAAAAGTAGAGACACTACATACTGATATACACCTGAACATCAGCAGGAGAGGACTCTTTAAAGTAGAGACACTACATACTGATATACACCTGAACATCAGCAGGAGAGGACTCTTTAAAGTAGAGACACTACATACTGATATACACCTGAACATCAGCAGGAGAGGACTCTTTAAAGTAGAGACACTACAGACTGATTATACACCTGAACATCAGCAGGAGAGGACTCTTTAAAGTAGAGACACTACATACTGATATACACCTGAACATCAGCAGGAGAGGACTCTTTAAAGTAGAGACACTACATACTGATATACACCTGAACATCAGCAGGAGATGACTCTTTAAAGTAGAGACACTACATACTGATATACACCTGAACATCAGCAGGAGAGGACTCTTTAAAGTAGAGACACTACATACTGATATACACCTGAACATCAGCAGGAGAGGACTCTTTAAAGTAGAGACACTACATACTGATATACACC